TAGTTTTTTTTACAAAATCTTAACATACGAAGATAAACTCCACAAGCACCCACTCGAGGTATATGACAGGGAGGTCTCGAGCAAGGATCACGTCTCGAGGTAGTAGACGTGGAATAAATAGGCATTGCAATGTTTTGTCTCTTATCTGAAAACCCACAAACAAAGCATAATGATAAAACAAATTTCCAAACAATTACTTACATGTCATTGTCAGATTGGGAGAATGTTCCATTTGGAGTATCTCAAGGATCAATTCTGAGACCGTATGAATTCATTTTGTTTGTAAACGACCTTGGGAGTGTATCAAAATGGTTCATATTTCTGTATGCAGGATTCACAGGAATTATTTGCAAAGAGAAAAAACATGTTTATATTCATCGCACCATCGCCAGAGAGCTCCATGGGGGGGGGGGGTGACTATCGTGACGAGTATTGAACGATACTTTTTATCACGATGAAAAAACTAATTCATCGAACTAAAAAAAATTATCTGATATTTCGTAATCAATTCATTTTTTAAATCTAAACACAATACGGCTGTACAATTAATTTTAGTGAAAAATTCTGCTGATTGTAACTTTGTAGATGTCAGGCAAAGTGTTGTTTGTGTGGCGAAAGTAATGTTTATGTCAGAAAAGTCAGCTGATCACTATTTACTTTTGGTGTATGGAAATTGAAGATTTTCAAAGATCTTAGCTGTATGGAAATGGGCTATTTTCGAATACAGAGTGATGAAAATATATTTTTACAATCGGCTAACATTCAATATTCAAAACCCTACTAAAACAAATTTTTAATCAACGACATTTCAATTCTTATTAGATTTCTTTCTAGAATCGCATCGACACGAAAGGCAACCTCGGAAATCCTCCACAGCCTACTATTTGATCCATAGAAGCATTACTAGCAAAACATCATAATAGTGTAAATAAACCACATAGCCTAGACTAAATAATAAAGCAAAACGCTGTTTTAGTGGAGCAACGGCACATAAAAACAAACAAAAGCTCAGTTTCTGAAGAGATGCAAACGGGGAAACTGTTGCTGTTTGCGTGTTGATTTCACTAGTTGTCTACATGTTGTCTAACTAGCTAATGGCTAATGTAACCTGCCCATTACACCCATTGTCCATTACACATCGCAGGGCCACACCTACAGGCGGATATTAAATGCATTAAACCAGTTTGTTATCCTCATCATCTTGCCCGTCCCCCGTAGTGCTTTGCTTCTACTCTACTATTTTTAATTCTTCTGGCACCAAGGAAAGGGCGATGGGTGGATCCGTGGATCACTCAACGGCTTGTTACGTGTTGTCCATACGAAAATAGGGCTGTTTGTTAGTATAATTAGTTAGGATTTATGAACTATGTCTAATATTTATCCGCTTTAGTTGAATATGATGTTATGATAATTATTATATTAACCACGAATTTTAGAAAAGAAACGGCATATGGATCGTAACACAAACAAATGATGTAAATAGTAAACATGATCCATATATAAATTCCAAAGTTATCATGAACTTTTGAGGAAACTATAAGTCACACCCCCATAAACCATATACTTAAAACGTTCGTCATGACGAGAAACCTTGCTCAAAACAATCCATTATTTCATAAATTGCTGTTTAAGGTCGTAAATCCTTTCTAAAGGGAACTTTCCCTATACCTAATGTTAAGAATACCCCAGCTGTACTTATTTGTTTGTTATTCTTTCAATTTATTACCTCTAAAATCAGGTGTGATTATTTGTTTGTATTACTATATTCTGTTTTGTTTATTTCAGCTTAAAAGTTTTTTTAATACTTATGAAGTCAAACCATGGTTGAAGCCTTCCACGATGAAGTCAAACACGAAGCCCATAGGTAGTAACAGTTAGTTTAAGTTAATAATGTTTACTTTCGGGCCAGGGACATCTTTGTTTATGTTTATGATCCATACCGTTTCTGTTAGAATATTCGTGGTAACAGGGTGTAATTTTAACCCTAATTATGAGTGTAAAAGGTGACCGTGGTACAATAGAGTGAGTTCTAAGCTATCTTACGTAGCTCTATTACATTTTGAGATCAGCTGTTCAGTCAGGACTAATTTACTATTTATTAAAACCCAACAATCAAGTAAGTTGGGTCTAGTGTTGAAACCATGAAACAGTTTCTGACTTTTCTTTGGATAAACCCGAGAACCTTTTGATTTCTAGCTATAGGCCTAGGCCTCATCTTTTATGCCAAAGCTAATTGAATAAATCTAACTAATTAAGACCAATAAGACCAGGCGAACGTTAAAAATGTACTAGATCAAAGTAAAATAGAGTCTTTATTATACAGGTATATCATTTTCCAATTGAACAATCCTCTTACTAAGGGTTACTTTTGTAAAATTTCAACTCTATGTTCTAATTTTACAGAACTGATGATCCGACGGAATCTACAAATCTATGGTTATGGTTATGGTTTTTATCGTTGCCTACGGTTAAAAGTTACTGTTGTTATATTGAACTAATTTAAACCTGGGAGTAAAATTAGAGAACCTGGGAGTAAGAATTAAGAGTATCAGGATCATACCATGTTATCAAGTGATGTAAAAAAAGAGCAATGGGAATATTGGGAATGCACTATCGTAAATTATTAGTTTTTAAAAACCAGGCGATATTCTCAACGACAGTGCATTCTAGTGGTGACTTGCCAAACTACAAATCACTAGCGTCGGTAACATAGATTATTATATTGAATTTGGAAGAACAGCAGGAAGAACAGTATGATTATAACCATTTATAACATAATTTTAAAGTGTAGCATTGAATATAAAAATAGTCTATGGTAGTAGCTACAAATATACAAAACAATAATACAAAGAAAGACTTTTTTTAAATTGTGAGGATTTTATACAAATGTGAACCATTTACCTAAAGTGTGTCAAGATGACTGAACTTGTACAGTATTAAAAAAAACAAGCCCATGGGGCGTAGCCCAAGGGAAATATGAAAATTAAATGATATAATATTCCATTGTCTTCCATTTGTGAGCTATGTTTCAAGTTTCAAGTCTCTAGCTCATTGGGAAGTTTGTATAAAATCAATTGCAAAATTTGTACCGGACAAGAAAGCGAACTAATAAAAACGTTTTAAAATTATCAATTTCACACTACACACAACAAATGTTGTTTATAGTGCTTTATCCTTTATAATCACAGATGTGGGATAGCACTATATTTGGACAAGTGTTAAATTAGTTCCTAGATATAAAATAATGTATATGAACTTTGTTGGTGTTGGTGTTGGTGATTTATTCAAAAGTGTTAGTGACCTTTTTATTCCACTAACATTTCTTATCCATGAAAAAACATAGGTAGTCAAAATGCAAAAATTACAGTTTTCAGCAAATTTTCCTATAGATAAGTACCGTACATATTAATTAAAGTAGGTGACATGGTAAGACCTGGACCTGGTACCGATTTTGATGAAATTTAGCTTGAACGTGTATGGCGTCGGCGTGATAAGATTTAATGAGTTTGCGAACTAGCATGATCGGACCATGGGAACAGACTTTACAAACGTTTTTATGGGGCTTAAAAAACAAATAATTTAGTATATTGAATTGTTTTCAGTAGAAAATTCCAAAACACTACATTAAAAATTCCCATGTAATGCTATTCTTACGGAGAATAACAAATGCAAAAACTTTTGTAGTTTTTTGATTGTTTATGAATATATTTTGATTAAACTCGGCAAATTTATTTATTTTATTCCAAGTGATTTATATTTTACAATAAACACACTTTTTACCCTCCCTGTAGCAGCAAACCTAGGTACCGTACTTGTTAAACCTAATCTTACTTAAATAGATTTAAGGGAAAACCAAATCAGGCAAATGTAAATTTGCTTAGTCTGGAGGTTTACTGCGGTGTCGATATATTATGTTTTTGATATTTTTTCTACCTGTATACTTTACTGGGATAACAAAATCATGATGATACTTAACAGAGTCAAATATTTACTAACAAAAGTTACTAAATAGATCTACTATTATGATAAGTTATGCAATATTTTATCTTTACTACCAAACCATTTCCCCCTCTTTAGAGTGAAGCAAAGTTTGTAGCTATGGAATCATCAGAACTAATGTTAGTTTTAGTTGGGTACCTATATTAGTGTCTTTGTTAGTCTTAAGAAAGAGTTGTTTTTGACATGTGAGGTACAAACAACCTATATTTGAATTTAGATTTACTGAAATACCAGTAGTTTATAGACATCAATGTAAATATGGAGTAGCATGTTTAGTTGAATGGAACTCCCAATGACTCTGCATGTGGTTCAAGTTATATTTTTTCTTTTAGTTTGGGTGCTGTGATTCAAAAAAGAAAGAAAACTGCATATTTACAGCAGCACAGTGTCAAGAAAACACTAGTTTTGTCAGTGTACTTTAGTTTTAGTTTAGGCCTAAGTCTTGACATTATTCGTTTTGAAGAACAGATTGTAAAAGAACCCTTTCAAATACAGTAAAGATATTTTTTTATTGTTGATTAAAACATAGGGCCGCCTACTTGTAAATATAAAAAAAAATAGGACAATCACCGGCAGTCTTGATAATTACGTTAATAAGCTAGAGCTATTCTAAATTTGAAATAAAATTTTAGTATAGTCAAATAAACAGAATATACCACTTTTGCAACCAAGTATATTAAACATGGTCATTCATTCAAGGTTTTATTCAAGAACTAATACAAGGAAGGGTTATTTCATCAAAAAGATGTGATCACAAAATCAATTTTGAATCATTTACTTATATGCTATGTTTGACAATTAGTTGGCTTTTTCAATTTGACTTGATCGAAAGGTTGACATGTCTACAATAATCTGAGATTGGCAGCAGCACATTCTGTCAATGTCACCTCAATTTAACTACCCTCATTTTTATCTAAACTTTCTCTGATTCTGTATGGCTGATTTAACATGGGAACAGAATGTCTACTTGTAAAAAAAGTTAACTAAAGCTCTTTTTTTAGAAAGAATGACGCAGCTTCTCCTCTCACAAAAAGAAAGAGAGAAAACATCAGCAGGTTGGACCTGAGGGTCGGTCTTGTCATACACGTAGAAGAACATCCCATCTTCAGGGACTTCTACCTCATACATGTGGATGTTGGAGGTCACATTCCGAGGAGATCGGTGAGCTTACTTTTGATTAAAAATGCTGGCAAGTTGGGCCAGAGAAAAGGTGTTTTCATTCTATCCAGGCCTGCGGTTTTTATGTGTCTCGCTATGGACTCGATAGATAATCGTGCCCCCAACTTTTTTCTTGTGGTGACATTTTTCTCTTCCTTGTCCAACAAACCTAAAACCTCTTGCACCCCTGGGCCCATTTATAAAAGCGGCCCTGATTCTATCCTCAGGGAGTTCTTCCATATACAAAGGAATGAATGCTTATTCGCTTCTCTGTGGTTTAACCTCATCATGTTCATGTAGTACTCTAGGTTAAATTCCTAGGAGATTGCTGAGTTTGCTTTTAATGGAAAACTCTAAGGTATCACAAATTGTGGATATTTATAGGCATGCACTGTGGATGCGATACTCCCTGGTGTGGATTAACGTCCGCACGAGTGAGTACCACGACTATCCGCAGTACTATCCTTATAATTAGACCAATTCGTATATAGCAAGGCAAAAATGTGGTTCGGATTCCACTATGAACTGTAGGTCCCTTAGTTGTTATTAGCTGTATGGGCTATTAATTAACAAACTGTGTCTAAGGAATGTCGGCCTTAGTCACTAACAAGACTACAAGATCGCGCCACTCATCCTACACTCATCTCCATTCATACTTTGCTTAAAATACCTAATTCGTATGGTCGCCATTTCATTGAACAGTATTAACAGTATACTATATAAGAGACAATGATTGGTCTTTTCACTCATATCTAGGATCAACATACCTTCAGATGACAACTTGTTACCTCAAGACTATCATTTAACTGATTTGATACATGTTTTCATTTGTAAATTAAGTTACCTCAATGCAACTTAGTAAACTGTAATGTTTGTTAGTTACCTTGCAATGCACTTAAGGTGTGTTGGGAATGAACTTCGCTTCTTGAACTTAAATACTGCATTCTCCTTCTTTTACTGCTTACTTCTATATAGGCCTAGTTGTATATAGTTTGTGTAAATAATTCATTGTCTGTAGATCAGTCCCCTGGTATGTCATCAGGAGCGAATAGAGCTCCTCAACCACAAGGTCGTCGTCGTCTGCAACATGAAGGAGAAAGTCAAGGGTCTGCTGTCAGACTGTTTTGTAATGTACGCCAAGTTCCAAAAGGGGGGAGAGTACATTCGACCACCAGCCAAGTCCCATCCTGGGGACCGAGTTTTTGCGCCTGGATATCCATTTGATCCTCTTCAGGTCGGTGTAATTGTCTAATCTAAGACCTCAACTTAATATAACTTAGCAAGATGCTGTTTTCAAATAGACCTACGTGTAGATTTGCACATTCACGCAAAAAGATTCCTAGTAGTTTAAAGTGAATAAGGTTGAACAAGAGTCAAGTACTTTGTGTGGACAAAACATTCAAGATTTTAAACTACCATCTTTGTTCCAAAGGACTGGCCATTCCTACCAAACGGCACGGAGCTGTTTAAGGCAGCTACTAGAAAACTCAGAGTTTCCACGAGCAGAACAGTGAAGTATAACAAGACTCTACTGCAAACAGAGCATTATGGGAACATTACGACACATCAGCTCGGTGGGTGTAAGATCAGAATAGGACTGTGAATCTGGTAAAGACCCCTCAAACAATCTTTGTAACTTCTTTTATACGTTGAAACTAAATAAACAGATTGACTGGTTCAGCTTTTTACCTGCTATTATCTGCCTATTTTAAATATTAGAAATATTTAACAGCTTTTTTAATCTATAAAGCCGTGTTTACACTAAACCAGGTGGCGGGAACGCTACCTGCCTCTGGTAACTAAAAATACACTAGAGGAAGGTTTCCAACCTGTCCTATAAACTGCCTGCTCTTATGGCCCTGTGTTAACACGGCTTAAGATAACAAATAGGATCCTATTCCTATCTCAAATAATTGTTGTTTTACTATGTTGTGTAACATTAAAAAATTGTTTGCATTCTGACATTTTTTCTTTTTACATTTTCAATACCAATCAGTAGAGATGACATTTTTTTTACAGAATTAACTGATAAAAAAAAATAAAAATAAACACATCTAACTTAAAAAAATAAGGTTGCCAATGACACAGAAAAATATACACATAAAATAATTGTCAAACTTGTCTAAATTCTTTAAATGTACAGTGCCTAAGGTCTTGCTCTATAAAAAATTGAACACTAAAGTTTTTTTAAGGATTTTTGTAAACCTTATCAAACAATTTTCAGCCTGATAATTGCTAATTATTTAATAAGTGATACGGGACCATAGCAGCAATTGCTGCTTTTTGGTTATGTGGCCTAAACCAATTGAAATTAAATACACACCTTTTTAAACATTTAGTCCCCTAACACGATGCATTTCAACACTGCATTACCATTCTAACCTAAAAACAGTACACTAAAATCAATAAACATAAAAATATGCAATATTTACATCAGCTGGTATTTTTAAAAGAGCTTATAGAAACACTAGAAAATGACTGGATTTTTTTACGGCCTGTGGGGCAGAGCAGGGGTGATTTTTATCACTACTGATATTTTTCCCACAGTCTTCGGACCTTAAGCTTTAAAATGAATCCTCAACAGCCATGCATTCCTAGCTCGAGATATTTCGAGGGGACCGATTTGTTTACGGAATTAAATATATAGACTAGGGGCTCACAGCAGCACTTGCTGCCCTTCACCTCCATTGTAATTTGGCCTCACAGAGCACAGAATAAATATAGAGGCCTGGAGTGAAGCAGGCTTCTCGCACCAAGATGGCGGCTGGCCCAGTCTGCATTTACATTTAAACCAATATATTGTACCATGGAGACCACCAATCAATATTTACTTTTAAAACTCTCACCTCAGAACTTTTAAAGCCCGCAGGGCAGAGTCCTAGGTCAATATCGAAGGGGGGATAGTTTTATATGCATCCTCGGAGCGGTAGCTTCATATAATTTGATAAAGTAGCATAGAATAACACAGTGGTAATGACGCCATGTCTTCCAATTTCTGAGCCCGGCTCCCTCTCCAAGATGGCGGAAATCGGCTTCACTACTGGTATAGCTGTAGGTATAGGAGTGACAACTATATTCTATGCTCTGTGTTTAGCCTTAACCTCACTATATGCTGTGCACCATTACTAATACTCTCCTTCGTAGGCATGGTCTTCCCCTAACACGATACATTTTAACAATGCATTACCATTCTAACTTAAAAACACTAAACAGAACCTTAAAATCAATAAAAAAACAAATACGCAATGTTTACATAAGCTGGTACATTTAAAAATCTTATACAAAAGACTGTAGCAGTACTTCCATTAGAAAATGACTGGATCTTTGACGAACTGTGGGGCAGGGCAGGTATAATTTTTGACACTTCTGATATTTTTCCCTCTGTCCTTGGACCTTAAGCTTTAAAATGAATCCTCAACAGCCATACTACTTTTTCCTAGCTCGAGATATTTTGTGGGGACCGATTTGCTTACGGAATTAAATATATCTATATATTAAATATATCTATAGATAACATAGGTAAATCAGATAAATAACTGATAATTATGAATATATATATATATATTTATTTTTGTAATGTGAAATAACAACAACAAACACAAAACAAAAATATTGAACTGAAAAAGCGTGTTATCTTGTGTACAACATTCTCAGTCATAAAACAAATTTTACAAACTTCTCAACATAACAATGATCCCCTTTCAAACACAACTTTTTGGTCACAGATTACTTTAAACAGTTGATTTTCATTGTATAATGTTTGATTGTTAAGTGATTCTGACAAATAATGTGACACTTGGGGCTTAAAATGGTCATTTTGTCAAATGTTAGTAACAACCTAGAGGCTGAACCACAGGAGTGAAAAAGTGAAACTTTGCAATTATAGGTTATAAAATATATGTAGAAAATTGTTGCAATTTCATCCCTAATTTCTAAAATTGAAATAAAATTAAAAACACTTCTACACAGTTGGTTTTAGTTTGTAAAAAAACTTTCTCTCTTTGAGAGTAACAACCATTTACTTGCAAAAATATTTCTAAGTTAATATTTTGTTTCTTTTGACCGGTACATTTGAATACCTTTAGTTTTGAAAATCGCCTCCCACAGCTGATTAGACCAGCCCGCACTACGCCACACTGATCACCATGCTAAAAGTGACAGTGACGGCATACTCGGTGACTTGGGGAACTTCTGAGCTCATTTCTAAGGTCCCAACTTGCCCAAACAGCCGTAACCTGCCTCTGGATCATTGTCTAGCAGCAGTCGTCACAGTAGTGATGTTCTCTCAGTCAGGATCGGTCACCTCGTGCCCTCGACCACACAATTACCAGCCCCTGGGCGTCACTGGTGGCCAGTAGACTCTCATCATAGTTGAAGCTGACTCCCAGCACTGGACACGCATGGCCCTGCAGCTTGTTTACTACTGCCTGACCCTTCTCTCTCTCTACGTCCAAGAAGTACACACACGAGTCCTCACTGCCCGTCACTGTCAACATAGAGCACAGGGATAAGTAAACAGATAAGAGAAGATAACATCTTGTATGATTTTATTGAAAAAAGATCATTATTGGCATAAATATGTTTATTTTTAAAACAACATGGCTTTTATGAGTAAAACTACTAACTGGCGTTAAATTAACTGGAAAAATATGTTTAAGCGTCAAAAACAAGTTTTTTGCCTTTCTTTGGGACAAGTAAATGTTGGGAGATTACACTAACAAAACACAAGAACAAATAAAATATGCAATAAGAAAACTAATAGGAAACTAAACGAATTCCAAAACTTAAACTAAAAGTAGGTAAGTAAAAAAAAAAAAACAACTGTAAAAATATGATTAACTTAATATATTTGTAGGTTTTGATCAACAAAATTTCATCAAAACTAAGATTTAGAAACTACAACTTTCAATTTCTTCAATTGAAATGCCTCTTCCTCAACCTTTGTCAAATTATCAGTTGCGTCCAATTTTAGAAAGCTTAAAGAATCTTAAAAAACCCTTGTAACAAGTTCACGCTAGCAGTGTTTTGATCAGAAAGCATTGTACACAGCTTTACCAAGCAATACTATTTAACTCATAAGATTCAAGTGATTATGCTCAGATGTAGTACAAATCAGAACGGGGATGTGGTGTAACCTGCTTTATTTAGATTTTTTCAAAAAAATAATTTATGAAAAAAAGATTTGAGATGACATACCTATGCATGTGCCTTGACGGAAAGACATGATCGGGCAGAATGTGGACCTGACTAGGTATCGACTGCTCTTGTGACGAACATTTAACCTTCGTTTTAGTTGGAGACCTCCTTCTCGATCTATAACTCTGTGACAGAAAACCAGGTTAAACGTTACATGAAAATATACATTTGGTAAAAAACTTGTTAGAAATCAAACAATAGTATGTTAAAACAAATTAAATATTATCATCAATGAATATACAAGCTACATAGTTGCACCTATCCTAAACAGTTTGGACTGATAGTTTTAACAACAAGGTTGTGTTGTTTTAAACTGTGTAAATAGTTTATAAGCTAGCTATTATCCAGTTAGTAAAAAGGGTAACGTGTCTGGGAATGGACTTTTCAACAAATACAACCACAGGAAGATGAATTTAACAGAATTGAAGAGATCTTGTTTTACTATTTTGTTAGAAATAATGTGTTTAAAGTAGGTCAAATTAATATATTTTGAGTGAATGTACATAATTTCTCGTTTTTTTTATTACTCATATTGTTCCCTAAACCAACAATAAAATAACTCAATGTAGCTTAGCTTCTGGTTTTTGATGTTCCGGACGGGAAGCGGATATATCCGCCTTCTCTTCAGACAGACTGGCAGGTGCTTGAGCAGTAACCAGATGTTTCGCGGTACTAAGGCGCCACTTTCCTGCTCTCTCCATGGCTACGCTCTCTCCCGCACACTCCCCCCTCTCACCCGCACCTACCCCTCTCCAGCACCTCCCCCTCTCCCGCGCACCACCCCCGCCTCTCCTACGCTCCCCCCTCGACGTTTTGCGCTCAACACTACGTTGTCCTTATTTATTGTCTAAATATTGTTCTTTATCTATTGCCTAATGTTCTCAAGGTCATATAAAGACGGGTGGCGGATAAATCCGCTGCTTTTCTACTCATCTGCAGGCGGGTAGCGGATATATCCGCATAGCTCAATACAAGTAAAAAATTTTGACAGTATGAAGTGTTCTATTGTGTTTATTTTACGTATACTTGTATAACAAAACCCAAATAAGGAAAATTAATTTGTATTTTTTCCTATAATTTCTTCCCGTTCTATGTCACGATTTCACCCGTCCAGTTATAACAAGAAGTGAACCAACCATCTAGACAACAAAGCAGGATAGGTCTACTATACAAGGATAAAATTTTCCCTATTAGAAAACTCCCACTGTTAACTACAAGTCATAAAATATTTTTTATTTAACATTTATTTATTGACGTAACTTACAAGCACCACTACACATTTATATAGGAAAAGATAAAATTTATGATAAAATAAGTTTGTCAAAAACAAAAATTGTATACAACTACCAACCTGAACGTAGAGACACAGTTGTTGGAGCTGTTGACCAATAGGAGAGGCTCCCTGGCCTCCCGACTGACCCAGGCGCGCCAGCTGATACACGTGATGGCGCAGTCTTCCCCCACCACCAGCCGGCGCAGCTTGCTCAGTCTGCCGGTCTCCAGGTCAAAAGAGAAAGAGACAATGGTGCCCTGCAAATAGTGTGTTACGTTGTATTGCATCAAACAAGACTGGTTTCTCTTTATTTTTTATATCAATTGGCTCTCAGTTTTGTAAATCTAAAAGATTGTTGCAATGGTATCATGTGTGTTTAGTTTGTGTTAAACACAATCGATTTCATATCTTGCTAATTTTTAATGGTCTTACTCGAGTGTTCACAAAATTTAAGTGATTTGAGCATAAGCAATTCCATTGCCTCCACCTCACTTTAACTTTGAAACAACAGCTGATAGCTAATGAGCTGATAAAGTTAAGCTAAAAATTGCTTGGGGAAACCAGGAAACCTTTCCCTTAAACGGCCTAGATTTTGTGAACGGACTATAATAAATATTTTTTGCTCTTCAGACCATGAAAGAGGTGTTGAGGTTAGCATTGTGAAAATATTAAAAATTTCACTCAGTGGTTATTTAAAAGCTGGATAAAAAAAAAAAAATACTTTGCAAATTCTGTAATTAAAAGGCAACTTATTAGTAGGAAAAAAATCACACACAACAATTGATTTACTTTAATGTCAAAGGTACCATGAGTACATACAGCCTTAGAACATGGGGACGAAACAATTGTTCACGTTTAAAGAACAAACACATAGTTGTCGTAGACTATGACAATTTTACTACTCATATTATATTGGCAGCTCTAGGGTCCCAGACACAATATGCAATTTATTTCAAGGGTTTTGTATAAATTTAGGTCTCCAACTATATGCTGTCGAAAGAGAGCAAGTCAGTTCAATTCTAAAACTAGTGCCGTAAAACTAGTAGGTTTTTACTTCCCCCACCATTATTCTATCTGGTCCCTCCACTATACAACGCTAGTATTAGCCCAGTCAATAAAGGGATTGTGTCGAAAGTAATTAGTGAAAGGCTGATTTTTGGCCCATCGACTATTACCATTTAGACAAGTGTTCAGCCAAAAGTCCCCGCCCCTACCCCTCTTGCTTCCCCCCCCCTGTGCCCCCCTAAACATATAAAGTGTAAGGGTTTCGTAAATCACGTTTTTCTCGATTGTTAAACGACATATTGAATTGCAATTAGTTGTATTGTCTTTGTTATAGAATTTCCTACAATCATGTTCAGTTAACTTTCATCATAGCTGTTACCTTTTGTTCATTATTTGTATACAAATGTAAAGATTTATATATTTTTCAACATATAATTTTATTTTTGTTGCCTTAACTTTTTCTGCTGACGTTTTATGAAAATATGTTCAGAACAAAAGTTGTAGCTGCTTTCATTAGCTTTAAAATGATGTATAATAGTACTTATTTTAATAAAAATCATGCGAGATTCAGCCGGTGTAATGGAGTATGCGTACTCAATCAGTGAGCTAAGTTGGGCTGGCGTGGCGATGCAATATAGTACTATCATTGTTGTAATATGAAGAGTGTTTTTTTTTTACTTAAGGTATACTAATGCATTATCTCCATTCCCCACTGCAGCAAACCTGCGACTAAGCAAATTTTCATTTAACTGGCTGGATATTTACTCAAACATTCCCTTAAAATCGTCAGAATTATTTCCTGATCAGATTATTTTCATGAATACTTAGGTTTGCTGCTTCAGCCAAGGTATTGAAGAGTAATCTTTTATCGATATGTTGATAGCTTTTTATGAAATAAATAAATCTAATTAAAATATATCTATAAACAAGCAGACTACAACAGTTTTTTTATCGTCCAAAAGAATAAAATGGGAATTTAAAAACTTAATTTTTATGAATTATCTCCGTAATCGTTAAGCGTTTAACGTTGCTCCAATATACAAAATTATTTATTTTTTTAAGCTCTACAAAAGGGTTTGGAAAGAAATTGTAATAGTTTGTGGTTTTAGGGGGGAAATGGGAATAACCAACGTTTACCCCATAAAAACCCTTATAAAACCCTATTCCCATAGTCTGATCATGCTGGTTCACAAACTCGTTTGAATGAACGTAAATTGATATATTTGTACCAAATTTCATCAAATCGGATCATTTTTGTTTGAGTTATCACGCTAACTGACTCATGTATCTATATATATAAAGTGATAATATATATAGATTTATGATTTTAAGTTTTACATTTTATTTATGAATTTTAACGGTGGAGGGTGTTTTCGGCCTCTGAGGGCGTCAAAATGAAAAACTAAATCGGGCCCGGGTCTAGGTCTTACCATGAGACCTACGGTAATACGGTTTATTCTAAAAAAGTACTATGAGGAATTTGCTAAAAGAACAACCGAAACAAAACCCATGTACAGTTAATACAATTTATTTCTATCCTTTGTAATTTAAAAGCATAAAATCATTTTATATGTACATAATAATTTTATAGCATGTTATTTTTGAACAAAATAATTGCATTGTCATGATTTGAAGTTTACAACTTCTTTCCCCCCATATCTTATATTTTCAACACTGGGGTAAGACGACTCATCATACACTCGGTTTTTAATTTCTTGTCTTATCACAGCCGCAGCTGTAGAAACAATTCTCTTATAATCTTATCACCGTTATGCCTTTTATTTTAAGAGTACCAAGTTTCAGAGAAAATCTTGTCCACCCTATCTCTTAAACAAACTATGGAGGATTTATTTTTATGTTCGTAGTATAATAAGAAGTCTAATCAGCCCAATCATTTTTTCCTATTTTCAATACATTTACTTATAGTGTGTTTAGTAGTTAAATTACAGTATGAACTCAATCGACTGCTTTCCTTTTTTTTTGGTGTCTTAAAATAAAAAAAAATCTAGAAAATACAATAATGGGTAGAAACGTCTTTTACGAGTGCGGTAACGGATCAAATCAAATCAGTTTTATTTCCACAATATATACCAAATTTACAATTTTTCAAAAAATAAAATACGAATATATACAGTCTTTAAGCATTACTAGATAACCCGTTGCTCGAAATCGAGCAAAACTGAAGCTTGTATTAAAAAAATGAACAAAAACATAAACAGCAAGCAAGACCTTTATCAAAGAGTCACTCTAAAATAATTTATATCACTGATTATAGAAATATAAAAATATTATGATGTAAAAAAAATAAAAGTAATCTACAATATTTAAATTTACATTCACTCTCATACTGCTTTGGTTATCTCTTATGTATAGTAGGCTGGTGCACTCTATGAGCACGTAGATGACAACCACACACTGTAAAGTGAGCTTTTGACCTAATGTAGCTCAATTCCTCTCTTGACGCAAACCATCGCTACTCTTATTCTAGCATTGTTAAATTATTTCTTTGGTGTGTTCTGTTTTAGGCGTGTTTAAATTAGGGGCCCCAACCCAAGTCTCCGGTTGGGAACGTAGAGTTAAGCAATTGCATTTAACGTCAGATCTAGAATGGATACGCCTTTAACATTATTAGTGTTGGAAAAAACTATTGGCCAGGTGGTGCTTTGTTTTCAGCTTTAAAAATTGCTGCGACACCTACACAGGTAGCACCATTGTACCGAGGGAAGTCACTTCTTCTGTCTCTTATTATGTACATGAGAATCTCACTTGACTCCTCGGAGCTCTCGTCCCTAAATAATTTCTGCCACAGTCTTCAAAGATTTGCATATGGGTTTGGCATTATGACCCTATTTTCCGCATATTTTTTCATTGAAATTTTTGTTTCAATTTTGCTTAGTTCTCATTTGGGTTCTAGTGACATTGTCGTACTTACTTATATATCTGTGCGTATTCAGGATCATAATCTTCTTGAGGAATTAGAGGACCAACTCGGTGGTAAAACATGTCACCGATCTTAAAATTGTAGATCCCCTGTGGAACTTTCTCATCTTAATGAGCTTCAAAGCTGAGCTTGGTAAAGGCAGAATTGAATTGACGAACTTTATACAAATAATTTCTGGATATAAGTCTCACAGTCCTATTTTCAGATTGGGTGTTTCCAATAAGAATCTGAAGATACCTTCAGGTGAATTGCATAAATGAGGTAATCGAACCTTTCATTTATGGAAACAAAGAGTAAAAACTTAACCGTCTCGGGCAGCATTTTCTTGCTTAAAATAAGTAAGCCACTACAATGTAGACATTTAGCGTTCATTTGTCCGAGATTGGACTATCACAACGGTGGTACTACCACTATGTACCCATCAAATGTTCAATTGAGAGGTTTATGCAAGCGGTCATGTTCGCGTTCCCTCCAGCCACTCACAGTTCTTCGTCGTAGCCTACTGGCGGCATCTATATATTAATACGCAAGCAGGTTTCTTTTGATTTTAAATTGAAATTAATAAGCAAGTTAACCAAACGACAGAAAACACTATAAAGGAATTGGAATTTTTATACACATTGTAAATCACATGATAATATGGTAATGTAACGGATAACTGCCCTGTGAATAATTACTTTTAAACATTCAATTCATCACATCGAACTGTAACCACATGATAATCAGTAAAATACTATGTAAGGTAAATCAATTTAACCATAGACAAAAAGAATTAAATATTTATCAAATATTTATTCTTAAACACTTTGTTGTCTAGTAGGCCTATTGATAGAAAACTCTTCATTACCAGACTTAGTTAACAGATTGAAACAAAATATAAATTCCAGCTTTGCTCTGGAAGTTTTCAGTCCTGCAGTCTGTGGTTAACCTTAAATACTATTTCAAACTACGTCCATATGTTATTTGTAAACAAAGGGAAATGAGTTTGATCAAATGTCAACAGATAGCGCCGCCTTCCAAACTTTAGCCCTTAAGTGTATTTAAGTGATGCCCTTTCTTAATAATCTGAGACGTATTTGCACATCTACATGAAAATACCTTTAATTTGACACCTCAAACGTTAAAATCCGCCAAGCCGTTATCGAGTTATGACTGTGAAAAGAAACCTGCTTGCGTATTAATATATAGATACAGTACAGTGTTTACTTAAAATAATTCAAGTAAAATTAAATTTATAAAGTTATAATAGTATAAACTTAAATCAGCTATGGATCAGCTATTAGTATAGTAGTAGCTATTAGTATCGGATCAGCTATGGATCGCCACATAAAAATAGTGCACACGGTCCCTTCACGGTTAATATCTGGTATTACATAACCATAAAGTACACGTTTCAATATATCATTTTAAAGCTGATAGCAGCTACAATTTTGTTTGAAAAATGCTTTCATAAAATGACGGTGTTAAAAGTTTTGCAAAAAAATAAAATTACGAGTAAATAAATATTTATCTATACATTATTCTACGGATAACAAACAAACGGTAACAGTTAAGACGAGATTTAACTGGACATGTTTGTAGAAAATGTTATTACAAAGGGAATAAAACAATTGCAATTCGATGTATGTTAAATTTTTAACTTCCAGATTTTTGTTTAAAGATAACATCCTTTAAAAATACTACATACCTAAAAAAAATTTTTTTAAATGATAAACTAAATAAAATTTGTAAATGAATAAAAAAATAACTTTAAATGTTATTAACTTTACATGGGGATATCGATTGTTTTTTTAGGATAATACAATAGTTTTTCTTAATTCAAAAACAAATTCTATACATTACAACAATGATAGTATTTCGTGCCAGCCCCACCTAGACAAAACCCACTGATTGAGTACACATACTGCATTACACCGGCAGAATCTTGCAGAATTTTCATTAAAGTAAGTACTATTTTACATAATATTAAAGCTAATGAAAGCAGCTACAACTTTTGTTTTAAACATATTTTCATAAAACGTCAGCGAAAAAAGTTAAGGCAGCAAAAATAAAATTATATGTTCAAAAATATATAAATCTTTACATTCGTATACAAATAATGAACAAAAGGTAACAGCTACGACAGAAGTTAACTGAACATGATTGTAGGAAATTTTATAACAAAGACAATAAAACTAATTGCAATTCAATATGTCGTTTAACAGTCGAGAAAAACGTGATTTACAAAACCCTTACACTTTATATGTTTAGGGGGGCACAGGGGGGGAAGCAAGAGGGGTAGGGGCGGGGACTTTTGTCTAAACTCTTGTCTAAATAGTAGTAGTCGATAGGCAAAAAATCACCTTTTTACTAATTTCCCCTCCCTAAAAACACAGGTTGACTTGACTAACTATTCTCGCGGATCCGCGCCGCGAGCGCTCTTGCGCCCGACGCCGCCTCCTGTTTTCGGACTGATTCTGTCAACTGGCTGCAATTAAAATACGTAAAACCTATATCATTTTAAAGATTGAGAAATACGCCAACTTTTTATATAAAACATTTTTCTCTATCTCGTCTCATTTCAATACAAATCAACTTAACACACGAAGGTTGAAATTTAAAAGTGAAAAAAATTACATTCAAACTTAAATTACAAGAAAACTATTGAATATATCGATTACTTATCACGTTTTTTGTAGAGAATATTTTAAGGATTGAAATGGCGAAACAAAATTTATTCTATTGCTGTTTGTTTCTGAGATATTGATAAATTGATAAAAGATTACACAAATATACTTAAAAGGGTGTAGGGGGGAAAGCAAGAGGGGGAGGGGCGGGGACTTTTTAGAAAATGTTCCTTATATGATCTACTAACATCCATGAAAAAATCAGCCTTTCACTAATTACTTCCGACAAAGCACTATTTTGTCCCTTTATTGACTGGGCTATATTGTTGTAGCTGTAGCAGCAGAAAAAAAGAGAAAAACAATGCTCTCACCAAGAATGATTTTTTTTCTGGAATTAAATCTTTGATTTACTGAGTCTACCACTGCTGAAATTGATTGCCAGGGTCACTTTTCAAAACACAAACCAACAAAAAAAAAGAAAGACAAACGACACATAAACAATGCTTACAAAACAAAACTAGCCATGTTTACTAACCTTGTCGTTGCCAGCCCATATCAGTTGGCCAGAAGCATCAAAGGCCAGACTCAACACCTTGCCCCCCATCTTGCTGCTTCCTCCTCTAGGGTAGATACCCGTGGATACATTCAAAACTTGCACCATCCCTCGCCCGTTGCCTACCTGGTGACATCAGCTAAGGAAAAATGGCATTGACCTGAGCTGTGATATAACTAAAAATAGATTTTACATTTCGTCAAAAGCTCAATCAGTTGTAACTTGCAATACGAGGGATTAACCTCCAGTCAGCATCCAGTTCAGGTCATGTCAAACGGTATCGTTTGTGCGACAGGACCGTTAACTTAATTTTTTTTATTTATGTAACTGTAAAATATGTCCGTGTTATGTGTTTTTACTGTGACGACGCTGCTTCAGCTGAGGATGTCTAATGATGGCACGTTGATGCTGAAACGGCCGTAACACAAGTTACAACTGATTGATCTGAAAAGGTAAAACATATTTTTATTTTATCTTTTGTTTTAAATCTACTGTTGACAAAACAACTAACTATGGCGCTGTATAAAGTGTATAAATGACATAGTTAGATAAGGGTAAAATTTATTAAAGCTAACATAAATTATTTTTTAAACGATTAAGCTAAAAATAAAATAACTACAGTATTTCATTAAGGTGGGAGGTGGACAAGACTTTATTTTAAGTTTGTGATGAGCATTTTTACAAAATAACCCATCTAATTACCCATCTAAAAAAAGATTTTTTAGAATATCCTTTTCTTGTGTGATTAGTTTAAAAAATTGGGCAATAAAGGGGAATAAAAATGAAATCAGATTTTTGTTAATTTAACTCTCTTAGCACCAGGGAATTTTACTTATTTATGTCTACTTTTGTCATGTTTTCTTATTATCTTACGGAAACACAAATCCAAATTCTTTTGAAAGAACCTTGCAGTAGACACACAAATCAATGATGGTTAAAAAGTAACAAAACTTTAGGTGCGACTAATAAGGAATCCACTTTCCATCAACTTCTACTATCATTGTTCACTGTTATACAACTTAATTAGATTGTACCTCAGAAAACATGAACAGTCATGCCAGAAAAGGATACAATGACCATGTTGTTGTTTGCGGGCTGGAATGCGCAAGACAGCAGTTCTACCCCGGCCTGATCTCTGACACAGCGTAGACATGAATGTGACGTCACGTCCCACAGACACAATGTTCCGTCCAGCGAGCACGACACCACTAGATCATTGGCCACGGACCAGTCACAAGCTGCATACACAAAACATATAACAGGCAATCTTGCAAATGTCTTCCTTTTACATCCTAGGACTGTAGGCTCTATCCCAGAACCTGCTATACTGAATAGTCTTTCCAAAAAATCTCCAACCTTCCATTTGCTATTCAAAACCAGATTTTGTTATTCTTAAGTTATCTACAACAGTATCTATTTTAAGGTTGTTTCATTTAACTATGAACAAAATATGACAGATCTTCATATACTTTCCTTCAGAAAACATTTATGACTAAAGAGTAATCAAAGTTTGGATTGCTTCTTTACAAAAACGTAAAAAGTGCAATTTATCTACAAACACACGTGAAAAATATAGAACAAACCTATTAAAAAATACATACAGTAGGTTTGTGAGTACTAAGGAGATACAAATATTTATAGGACCTACCACAATGAAACCAGTGGCAGAGATAAGAACCCGTGGGCCTGCGCCGGTGGCCTGTCACCATCTCCTGTGATCGCGGCCAAATCCCTAATATCTCCCGCGGTGACGGAAGCATTAAATCTTTCCGTAATCACCACAAAATCCTAAATATGTCCGGCGGGAAAAGAAAAATCATCATCGTCTTTTGCAATAGCGTAAAAATCTTGAAAACCTTGCACGGTCATGGATACATTAATATCGTTTTCCACTATCGCAGCAAAATCCTGAACGTCTTCCCCGGTCGTGTGGACATCATTGTTGTCTTCAGCAACCACGGCAAAATATTGCACATATCTCGTGGCTTTTGAGAAATTGTCATGGTCATCTGTGGGGCAATGATCTCGTCGACATTCGGGCTCGCGAAAAAGAGTAGGCTTTCTGTGCTCACAATGTTATCACTGTGGTAAAAGCTTGGCTTCAGCTCGGTTTTGTGACTTGTGCTAGATCTCTCATGCTTGCTTGTGGGCCAGGCTCGGCTCGGCTTGAAAATCGATATTCTCTACTATTAAAAATTAACACTTTCCAAATTAAACCTATTTTGTACTGACCCGACTCGAGGTAAAGAAATCTGGTCCGTAGCCCCCTAATAATGAAAATGAAATAATGGAATTATTTATTTAGCTAGTGTCCTAGGTTTATTCGCTGATTTCATCTTCAACAAAATGATCGAGTCCATTATTTTTTTACAGAGGGCCATGCTTATGAGTATGCCATAGGGTTGGGGCAGCTGGAAAAGCCTATTGTGCAATCAAGTTCATTCAGTTCTATAATCAGCATAGATGGGCATCTCTGGTGTGACCCGCAAAGGGGCATATCTATTCTAAATACAGCCCTATTATTATAGCGCCTTTTTGCAGGCCACGAGAAGAGTTGATGCATCCCGCAAGACTGCAGAAAATTTTTTTACTTAGGTTAGTAGAGAATTTTCATTGACTGGTCAAGTAGTGTCAGTTTAGTAGTTGTAAATTATTTGTCCTCCTACGGGGAATACGATCACTGCTCAATTATGCACTCAAGAGCAATAGTGCTGCCAAAATGCCTATTTTAAAATAATTTTTATTTACGTTTATTTGTTGCAAACATTTCTGAGTTGTGTGGGGATCCGGCATAAAGCAAACCGGTTTAACAAAATCAAACTGTCTTCGATTAAAAGGGGCATACCTGTGACAGCCTTTTTGTGTCCAGTGAGCACACAGTCCACGCTGGGAGGGGAGGTTGTGACATTACAGATGGAGACTGACCCATCGTTGGAGGCGCAGCAGAGCCGAGAGCGATCGTTGTAAGCAAACTTGGTCATGGTGACTGCCGCCGTGTGCTGCCAACAACACACATTGAATAGTCTACAGGGAGGAAAAGCCTAAAATGATAAACTATATAGGCTACATTATCACTATTATTGTATTTCTCCATTTTAGTCCTAAGATTTTCTATAGATTCTAATGGAATGGATTATCGAGTATTTCAGAGAGAAACAAAGGGTTCTGTTTCAAGCATTAGACATAAGTATTGACTACTGAAGCAAAAAGCAGATGTTCGAGTTAGACTGACATGTGGTGAATATGATGAAGATAGAACAAATATAAGGAAACCCTCAAAGGAGGAACATATCATGAACACTCACAGGAGAAGTAAGGTGATGTTGCCAAAGACATGAACATTTTGAGGGCCAATGAAGAAGATTTATCAGAGGAACTGGTAGCAGTTTGTTGGGCCCAAATTCCAAGTTGGGTTCAAATAAATGTAGAAACAGGCCTTTTAAGTGATGAGTGTATTAATTATCATATTGATTTTTGTGAGGGGGGAATCAAAAACAGAGATGGTTCTCTACGTTATGTCATTTATTTTTTTTTTAGATACATGATCAAAGCTCATTTATCTAAAAAAAAAATTTACATAAATATAGTAAAATTCCATACCATTCATGAGCTATCAAAAACAATGTGACACTTGCCAGCAATAAGAGTTAAAACCGCATAAAACCAGGTAAAAATATGATTGCTAAAACAATAGCATAATAGAACTCTTAACCAGATTACGACAATGTGGCCCACTTTTTCCATCGTCGGGAATTTTAATTTAAGATAAATCTCAAGCCCATACAAACTGTTCCCTGTGGAGGAGGGTGGTAGTCAGCAGAGTATTGGAGACGAGGTCAGTCGGGTGCGAGAGTGAGTTGCCGGGGTTTTAAGATGCGGAGGTGACAGACGACTCGAGGGACAAGAGCAGGTGAATGAATGTCCTGAGACCCACAACTATCTGGAAGCTGAGAGTATCGGAGAGGCGAGAAGGGTGAGAAGAACAACAAGAGTAAGAGTGAACATGTAAAATAGGAGTTGGCCAATTGTGAGCTAGGGAGGACCAATAAAGGAGGGAGAGACGTCAATGGCAAAGTCAGGCAAATAAAATTGTTAAAGGTAAGACAATAATTTGACTTTTCTCACCTACACCCCCTACAGTCACAGAACTTCGAGGGTGAGGGTGGACGTAACAATGTTCAACATCCATATTATTAAAAATAGCTGAAAGAATAACCCCGCAGCAGAAAACCTGCTGACTGGGCAAATTTTAATTTGTCTGATTGGATTTTCACTCATATAAGTACCCCCCTCTATAACAAGATAAGTGCTCTCCATTTAAATAAGTTAACGTTAGATTTAGCAGGTACAGAACTTAAGTTATTTTTCACGTTAATGTAAAATGTCATCTAGATTGGAAAAAAATCGCTCAAGATCTATATATATATTTGAAGGAATAGTGTGTTTGGCCCCTGGGGACATAAAAACTTAAATTAAATGGTTGTGTCATGCTAAAAACCTCTTCCCCATAGGGCAATTCACAAAAAATATGTTTGTTGCATGTTGTGTTAAAATTTTGCAACAATCGGCGAAGACAATAATGATGTTCCTTTACCGCGGGGGTTATTCCAGGTTTTGCTGTGATCGCGGGAGACAATGACAATGTCTACATGGCCGCTGGAAATTTTCAGAATTGTGCCCCGATCGTAGAAGACGATGATGATGTTCGTTACCGCGGGGTTATTCAGGGTTTCGCCGTGACTGCGGGAGACAATGACAATGACTACACAAACGCAGAAAATTATCAACATTTTGCCACAATCGTGGAAGACGATGATGACATTTCCGTGAACGTGGGAGACGAGGATGATGTCTACATGCCCGCAAGAGATAATCAGAATAGCCGCAAAGAAGACGATAATGCCTACACGACCAAGAGAGATGTTTCATGATTTTGCCGCGATTGCAGAAGACGATGATGATGTTCGTTACCGCAGGGGATATTCAGGGTTTTGCCGTGATCGCGGGAGACAATGTGGGAGACGATGTGGGAGGGGGGGCCTTCACTTCAATCCCGCCCCTCCTCATCTGTAGCTTGATCCGCCACTGATACATAACAAAGGTGCGTGTATGGAAAAACAAGCTAAAACATTCAAAAAGGTACATACAGCTTAAAAGTTGAGTCAAGACTTGTGTTTTAAAACTGTGACGTGACATCATGAGTCGAAAAACTTCAAGTTTTGTATATAGGATCTGATGATAGTATAACAAATACCGAAACGCGTAATCCTGTTGGATATTCAAGGACCACTATAGGCAGTCTGCAGGTATTGTAACCTTCTTATATTGATTAAAAGTTACATTTATTGTGAGTAGACATACTACCTGATCAAATATGTGGTGCACTCCAACAAAGGCATAGTTCTCGGCAATAGTGTTGCCACCGACTATGGCCCTGGAAGCCTCGGCTTGTCGGGTTGGCACCAGACCATGGTCAACTTCAGTGGAGGACCGATGAGTCGGAGGGTCCCATCCAGTGTACTCCGGAGACTCACTGACCTGACAACAACAATCAATATGAGCTACAGCACAACGCAGAGACAAAAAATGCTATCCAAGGCATGATGCAAATTTCATAAAAAGAGAACTTTTGCTGTACGCAGTATGCAATCCGTTTGTCCATTAAGTGGACCAGTCTTGTTTCCTACACATTAGTGACGCATAGCGGCACGCTATATTTTATATAGTGTAAGCATTTCGCAAAGCCGGGCTGCATGACCAACTTGTTTTCCTATGCTACTACATTAACACTCTCTCCCCACCTTCCTACACTCTTGTCCTCCTTCTTCATCAACCGTCCTGAGAATAGGAACAGCAAATTGTGACCTTCTCCACCGATATAACGGATAAGGTTTAATTTAGATTATATTCATGTAGGATATAAGTAGAAATACAAATAATGTTCGGCTAAGTCAGGAAACAAGTGGGGATGCCTTCAGTCTCGCCCGACTATTGAAATGTGGGAAATTAATTCTTTGCCGGCTTCGCTGGCTTCACCAGCAAGCCTTCTCAAACCTGAAAATTCAATCACATGTTCCCAGAATGTAGCTTAACAATTATCAGTCAAATTCATAGATATTTTTCATTCAGCATTCTATTTACCATATTATTAGCATTATTACCATTATTATTATTATTATTATTATTATTATTACCATATTCATTCAGCATTCTATTTACCATATTATTAGTAAGTAATTCTCCATGTACAGTTCATAGTTTGGAAGGATAGGTCCATAGTTAAATAGTTAGTTAAATTAGTGTAAATCAAAGCTGGCTAAGCAGGTGTTCTGATCTGGGTAAAGATCTCCGTCCATCTGTTCCCCAGCAATCTTCCTAATTTTATTGGTAGCAGATTCAGCACGCTTAAACTAAGTTTGGTCCAGACTCAGCTATTCCAACCCTATTAGCATTACCCTATTTATTCCCTCCTGATTCCTCGAATTTCCACCAATATCCCATCATCATCATCACCTAAGTCCCCCCCATTTCACCATCTTCAATGCCCCGCGGCTACACATTTTTAAGGCTTCTCTTCTTTTAAGTTTCCTAAATTGGTTTTAAAATAACACAATTGCAGCTCTTATCGGTAATTTAAGAAGAAAAAACTAAAGTAGCCTAGTATAAAACAGGAACAGCTTTGATGAGATGGAACTATTAACTATTATTTTAGACGAACATAACATACCCTGCTGCTACTCCTTGCACTCATACTTCGACTCTGCATACTAGCCTGGTCATAGCCCAGTCCATACCTCTGTTGTAGAATCTGACACCGTATCTTGAGATATTGTCTTCGCAGATTTGTGTCCTGCAATATACAAAACTAATCAGCCAATATTTTAATTATTTAGGAGCATGATTTAGAAACACTAATTTGCATTTAGAAGATAATGATTTTAGCCTTGGGGTCTCATAACAAAATCGTAAAACGAAAAACTAAGGAGTCTGGTACAAGCCAGAGTTGCAGCTGAAATTAACAGTTTGGGTGAAATAGAATATTCCTTGATTGTAGGGCGATTATAATCAGGTACTTTGAAGACAACACAGAACAACTTCTGGAACAGTTCAGTCATCTAGCTTTGAATCCAGAGGAGTTGAATCTGAACATTATAAGAGAATAACGGTGAGAAAAGTACATGGACAAGACAAAATTCAAAATGAGATTTGATTAAGATAAATTTCGAAGTTCAGAATCTTCAGTAAAATGCTTAAAAATGTATAAATTAGTTTCAGGCCTATAAATTTACAAGAAGTAGGTTTACTCTAATTAATTCTTACCTCTCCTTTGGAGTATTCCCGGAGCAACTGATTGCGTCTCCGAATATAAAGTGTTCCTGTGGAAAAATACTAGATTACACAACTTCACACAACCGTACTAAGCAAAGAAACTACTGTGTCTAAGGGTGTATTTCTTAATATTCAGCACATACCAATAAAAATCATTGAGATTGTTTAACTGTTCAAGAGCAATGTTCACAATAGTTGGGCCTACTAACACAATTAAGATGAATCGGTAACAAAAAAGAACATTGCCAAACCAATAACATAGATGAAGTAATCTATATATATAAAAGGCAAAGCCCTCACTGACTCACTGACTGACTCACTCACTCACTCATCACTAATTCTCTTACTTCCCATTTACCTAGGAGGCTGAAATTTGGTACACTGATTCTTTAGACATTAAATAGGAAAACTAAGCTGTTTTTATTCTGATCGGACTCTTTTGCTCCGCCCCAGTGGCTCTGGAGTTTCCCATGTTAACCTTATGAGTACTCATATTTAAATGGAATTAATGAATCTTAACAGCTGTTTGAATTACTTCAACCAGGATGTGATTGAGCGATGCGAACAAGCTCACTTATGAAGTTAAACGGGGCAAAGCCCGTGGGTACAGCTAGTCTAAATATATAAAAGGCAAAGCCCTCACTGACTGACTCACTCACTCACTCATCACTAATTCTCCCACTTCCCATTTACCTAGGAGGCTGAAATTCGGTACACCGATTCTTTGGGCATTAAATAGGAAAACTAAGTAGTTTTTATTCTGATCGAGTTTTCAGGCTCCGCCCCAGTGGCTCTGGAGTTTCCCATGTTAACCTTATGATTTTTCATATTTAAAAAGAATATCTTAACAGCTGTTTCAATTAAACAAGTTGGTTCTGTTCTATGATGTTCAATAGCATTAAAGTTACAAGGATTACCAACAGGGTGCAGCACTATTATTTTTTTTAATTTATGACTACAGCCAATTTGCAACCAAAAGGTGAGTGAGCGTAGCGAACGAACTTCAACCTGGAAGCGAGTTAGCCTAGCGAACGAGCTAACCAGAAGGCAAGTGAGCGGAGCGAACGAGCTCCAACCTAAAGGTGAGTGAGCGTAGCGAACGAACTTCAACCAGGACGTGATTGAGCCATGTGAAAGGGTTCACTTGTGAAGTTAAACGGGGCAAAGCCCGCGGGTATAGCTAGTATAATATATAATCCAAACCTGATGCATCTTAGCCCTAACTTACTTATTATTACCGTAATAATTGAAGTGAATGTCCCAATCAAAGCCTACTGTAGGCTACGTTGTTATGTTTGTTTGTGGTTCCCAATATTGTATTGTAACTCGATATTCTCTTCCCTTCAGAATTTTGTAAGGACCTATAAGTGGGTCATTGCAGATCCGAATGTTAGTATAATAACTTAACTAGCTATTTAAAAATTTAAAAACAAAATAACTTATCAACTTAGCGAAGAGGACCCAATTAAGTTGGTCTGTTTTTTAGGCTTACCATGTCCAAGCCCTAATTTTATTACTTTAAGAATAAGCAACGCTTCTATCTTAATTTTAAGTAATTTTTGGTCCAAGTTAATTAATTGAGCTGTATTAGGGCCTAGATCTCAATAAATACCAAGATGCGTCTCAGAGCTATTTTAAGCAAATAAAAAATGAGTTCTGGATGATTTTGATGACAGTTTTTTAACATTAAAATATCAGTTTTTATCTACCTCAAGGCCTAATGATTAAGGTTAACTGCGTTAGCTGGCTCCAGCTCCTAACAAGCTTGTTCTCTTTAATCAAACTGTCGACCTTCTAAATACTAGGCAAGCCCTATATCCACACAGCTAGGCATATCCACTCCTGCTATAAAAATAACAGGTAAGTTAAGTTTTTGATTTTTAGATTTTTTATTAGTGAGAGGTGGAAAAATGCATTTATGCACACAGGTGGCACAGGCCTGTAGTGTGGGGACTCCAACGGGTTTAAGGCCCTTAGACTACCCACTAAAAACCTCCTCTACTCCTTGAACACTAGCCTGGGAACACTTGTCCCACTTCATCAGAACTAGGCTGAGTCTGCCTACGCCCAAAGGGCTTACTCCATGTCTAGTCGTTCATTTCTTGTACGATCAGGATCGTTCTTTTTCAATTAAAGGATATTGGTTCCGGACAATGTGCGACCAGCAGTCCCAGTTGTCCTCACCCTTCAGCAAGGTCTCACAAATCTATTCAACCGACAGCACCCAAAAGATGTTGATTGGCCTCCCGGCGGAGCATATCCCATCGTGGAAAGTAGAAGAAAGCGTTTTTTGCGTCGTCGGGAATGTATGAGCAGTAAATACAGTCAGGTGAATTTGTTCCACCCACGGTTGAAAATGTCTGATGAGTCTGGCAACCCAACGTCCTCTAGTCTCCCTTTCCCAGCTTTCTTGCTACATCTGAAAAGTAGGGGAACGCTCTTCTGTTCTTGCAGCGTCCTTCCCGATGTAGCCTTGTCTCTGGTAGATTGCCTTACTCTGCTGCCAAGAGTTTGACTGGGATAAGTCAAGCAATCACCCAAACGGCCGGTTCGGACACCATACAGTATGCAGAAGCGACCCTGAGTGCCGCCTGACGCTGCACTCATGCGAGCCTCAACCTGAACACTTCTTTGTTGAGCGTGTCTGCCCACACCTCAGAGCCATGGAGAAGCACGGACTGGACTGCAGACTTCAAGAGTCTTCTACCGCTGGACCAAGGAACACCGACATTGGCCAAAAGCTTACTAGGAGCAGCGACACTCCTAGTCAGTCTTGTCAGCCGTACGGAAGATTTGGTCTACACAGCTCAACTTGTTGTCCACCATGACACTGAGGTACTTGGGGGTTAGCGTGGTTTGGACAACTACGTTCCCCACTTGTAGCGGAACAATGGTTTCAATCCATTTCTTCGTAAGGATGACAATCTCACAACTAAAAACAGTCTCCTCTAGCATCTCAGATCTCAGAAAGCTGTCGTAGACAGTATTCCACAAATCTGGCGGAGTATTGAGCCTTGCGCGGCACCGGAAGTGACATCCATCGTCCACGCACCACCTTTCATTTCGTGGTAAGTTAAATAACCTATTGAAGTTTAGAATTATAAAATAGGCTAAACACATACTAAAAAATACAGTGCTACGCAGATCTTGGACCAACAGGCCTACTTACTAAAATTAGGATGGTTTGGAGCTCGGTGAGCATTAAATCTTGCATCCAGGGCAAATACTTGCTGCTGCCAAACTGCCGTCATTTTGATGTATATTTTATATAGGGCTAAATGAAGGTGTTTTACAACAACTACGTAAAGGCCTAATAAACCATACCGTATTGTTATAATGAAGCACTGTGTATGGACAATACTACAGTATGATGAAAAACCTCGTTGAACTTAGACAAAACAATGACGGAAGAAGACTAAGTATTTAGTTTTGATAGGCATGTAAAATATTATTCAATTTCCAATAAGCTAACAATACTTTCGAAGCTAGCGAGAACGTTGACAGTTGAGTTGACGTTGTCGTTGTCACTCAGCCTCACTTGCTATGCTACTTCACTTGCTTAATGCTTATGCTAAATGCTTGGCAAGCATATAGCATATAGCATTGCTTGCACTTGTTCTTGTTGGTTGACGTTGACTTGACAGCGACGGGAAAAAAAGACCCACCCATCAGGAACCAGACGACATTCCCGTTTAATAATTTAAAAAAACCCTAACAGATGACTAGTTATTCAAGATCACATGCTGCTGAGAAAAACAATTAGTTTTAAATCTGAGTCCTTTGAGGCTAATCATTGATTATGGGTGATAGGCAATGGTATGATTATATGGTACAACTATTATTTTAATGGATATTTGGTTTATCTTTATCTGAATACTTTATCAATTAACTGGTAAAATTGAATTTAAATTTAATTGAATTTAATTGAGAATAACACCTCAAAAGTGTTGATTTGTTTGAATAAATTCTTCAGTTTAGTTCGATTCCCGGCGCACCTACAAATCATATGGGGTTGGACCGCTTTCCATAAAAGCGTTGGGTATCTCCTCTACAACTCCTTGAAAGTAGATAATAAATAAAAATAAAATAATCACTGAGGCAAAACTTTTATTTCTGACTCCAAAGTTAATCCAGTACAAAAGAGAAAACCGGTACTTAAGTTTCATTTGAATTTACCTATCACAACCTAACCAAACCTAACATGTCACATGTATATATTTGGAATATTTTGTACTAAACACTTCATATCTCATCCGAGAGCACAAGTACAATGGTTAAAGATCGATGGGTAGCGTAGAGATCAGATGGGGAAACCACGCGTTTAAACACTCATCTCCATTCATACTTGGCTTAAAATACCTACTTTGTATGGTCGCCATTTCAAAGAAAGAGTATTAAAAAAAAAGTTGTATAATACACTAAAAGTGACCACCGAGCCTGCCACCGAGCGGAGTTGGACTGGACCTTTCGGCGGCCATAAAATTTGATCAGCTGGCTTTAATGAATACCAAACAGTTTGTTATTTTGATAGGTTTAAAATTTGAACCCATACTTTCCTTCGTTTTATGCCTTAAAAATTATAAGTCAAAACTATAAGATTGGTGCTTATAATTGACCATCCTTGTTGCAGCAAAATTTTGTTACTTGTGCAAAGGTTGCAGAAGATAGAAGATTCACTTCTATGGATTTCAATTGACTGACATATTTTACTGTGTTAAGATAGATACCTCTAGTTTGCGTTGTACGACAGCCTCCTTAGGTCTGAAATGCCTGAAGAAACCGTTTTAGTTGGGTACGCAGATGACATTGCAGCTTTAATAGCTGCTCATAGTGTTGAGCTGGCCCAGCTAAAATTAAACCGAGTCATGCGAACTATAAACGCATGGATGGCAGATCACGGTCTCTCACTCGCGCTGAACAAAACTGAGATCGTGATTCTGACCAAAAAGCGGATTGACACCATTGTGCCGTTGAGGGTGGGGGACGTCGAAGTCCAGTCCGTTCGTGCCGCCAAGTATCTTGGTGTCATGGTGGACTCTAAGCTTAGCTGGCGGGACCAGATATTCCGAACGGCGGACAAGGCCGCTAAGGTGATCTCTTCTCTTAGCCGGTTAATGGCCAATGTCGGAGGTCCTCGTTCCAGTCGCAGAAGGCTGTTGATGTCTACAGTTCAGTCTGTGCTCCTGTATGGTGCGGAGGTGTGGGCAGACGCGCTCAATAAGGAGGTGTATAGGATGCGGCTTGCCAGAGTGCAGCGTCAGGCAGCACTCAGGGTAGCATCCGCCTACCGAACAGTGTCTGAACCTGCCATCTTGGTGGTTGCTGGAGTAATCCCCGTCAAACTTTTGGCGGCGGAGAGGAAAGCGATTTATCAGCGGCGTGGAGAGGACCATGCAAAAATGGAGGAGCGCAACCGCACCTACCAGCTCTGGCAGGAGAGCTGGGAACAGGAGTCGCGGGGACGCTGGACCAGGAGACTGATTCAGCAAGTACAACCATGGGTTGACCGACGGTATGGTGAAGTGGACTATTACCTTACCCAGTTCCTGACAGGTCACGGGTTTTTTCGGTCGTACCTGTTCAGGATGGGCAAACCGTGTCACCCGATTGCATCTACTGCCCAGGCACTCCCGACGACGCGGAGCACACCTTCTTCCGCTGCCAGCGTTGGGAAGGTTCCCGCCTGGAGGCTGAACAACATGTAGGGCAGTTGTTGGTGGACACGGTCATTCCGATGATGACGGAGGGTGAGGACAATTGGACCTGTATGTCACATTTCGTCCAGGATATTCTCCGCACAAAGAAGCTAGAGCTTGACCGAGATGCAGTCTAGGTCATAAAGGAAATTGAATGCCAGAAACGGCGCGAGCCCTGAGGGCTTAGGTCACACGTTGACCTGACCTGAAGTAATGTGACAAACAATCCCAGGTCTGTGTCCAACAGAGTAGAGGGGGTTTTTTTAGTGAGTAGTCTGACAAGCTCAGGAGTCTCACACTACAGGCTGGCTACCTGTGTGCGTAAAAGCATTTTTACCTCCTCTCCCTTAAAAAAAAAAAAAAAGTTTGCGTTGTTAGTTTTTATTTTATCATGACCTTCAAAATGAGGGGTTACTCGATGGGCTACACCATTTTAAAATTTTGAGTTTCCCTCGAAATCCCCCATCTGAACTTTTTTTTCATTTTGGGGATGTACACGAAGAGGCGGTTATGCCCAAAAAGCTGAGGGCAAACAATTTGAACATCTCTTGTGAAACCTTATACATACTGGTAAGTAACTAATGACAGCATACCTGCTTCTAGATACTTTTAGCTACTTGCTTGTATTTTAACTCATTTCGAGCAATGAAAATACTGGTTTCAGCAGAAATCTTCAGTAGAAAGTTTGTAACCCTGTATGAATACCGTACTTAAAATGATATGTTAATAGTGCTTTAAAAATCAGATAATAACTGTTCCCAAATTGTTACGCAAGGAAAATTGTAAGTTAATTCTGATTTCTAAAGATTTCAATTGACTGCCATATTTTACTGGGTTAAATAGAGAGCAGGGACCTCTAGTTTGAGTTGTTGGTTTTCTTTTATCAGGACCTTCAAAATGAGGGGTCTTTCAATTGGTCTTACCATTTGAAAATTTGGAGTTTCCCCTTAAATCCCCCATTTTGGGGGTGTACAAGAAGTGGCGCTTATGCCTAAAAAGTACTTCATAACGTGTGCAGAGTTTAGTTTTTCTAGTATGGACCATTAAAAAATTGACAGGGGGCATCCAGACTTTTTATTATTCGTGTATAGATAATTGAGCGGAGCGAGCGAAGCTCTTATACATAGACTCTTATGCATTTCGTAATACGCAAACTCCTCCTAGACGGCTGAATCAATCGTTTTCAAATTTTGCATGGTGATAAAGACCATATCGGTGAGTGCCAACATCTACATGGCGTTAAAAAAGTCTCTCAGGAATCCGCCCCAAACTGGGTCTCAAAGTTTCAATGTAATCCTTATGGAAGCAGTATTTGACACACTCACATAGACAAAGATATGATCAGCTGTTGACTTTTGAATGCAGTAGATAAAGAAATAGCTGATAGCATTATTCCACAGATATTAGAACAGAAACGGTATGGATCATAAATATTATTAAATGACGACACTAGCTTGAGGTCCGTGATGTAGGAAGTGGTGAAGGAAGTAGTAAAGGTGAGCAGTCTGGAGTGTGGAAACTGTTTATGACGATTAGGTTAGGGTATCTGCATTCCTAAAATTCTATGGGAAGGGAGGAAAGCACGTCCGCGACGTAGGAAGTGGTGAAGGAAGTAGTCAAGGCGAGCTGTCTGGAATGTGGGAACTGTTTATGACGATTAGATTAAGGTATCTGTAATCCTAAAATGCTATTGGAAGGAAAGGAAACAGGTCGGAGACGTAGGAAGTGGTGAAGGAAGTAGTAAAGGCGAGCAGTCTGGACTGTGGGAATTGCTCGTGACCATTAGATTATGGTATCTGCAATACTAAAATGCTATGGGAAGGGAGGAAAACAGGTCTGTGACGTAGGAAGTGGTGAAGGAAGTAGTAAAGGCGAGCAGTCAGGAGTGAGGGAACTGTTTGTGACGATTAGATTAAGGTATCTGCAATCCTAAAATGCTACGGAAAGGGAGGGAAACAGGTCCGCGATTAGGAAGTGGTGAAGGAAGTATAGTAAAGGCGAGTTGTTCGGAGTGTGGGATATGTTTATGACGATTAGATTTAGTTATCTACAATCTTAAAATGCTATGGGAAGAGAGAGAAACAGATCCGCGACGTAGGAAGAGGTGAAAGAAGCAGTAAGGTGAGCAGTGTGGAGTGTGGGAACTGGAAACCGTCTGTAGCAGTTTTAGTGTATCTGCAATGCCAAAATGCTATGTGAAGGGATGGAAGCATGACCACGACATAGGAAATGGTGAAAGAATTAAGTAGTAAAGGCTAGCAGTACGGAGTGTGGGAATGTTTTTGCCAATTAGATTAACGTATGTAAAATACTAAATGCTATGGAAAGATGCAATCGTTTACAATTGAAATTTACAACTGAGTTGACAACCGCTGATTTTTACTCCATAGAGGCTAAAAACGATTTTTACTCCCAAAATATTAAAAATGCTACTTTAGACCCGCAACGCATGCATTAAAAACTACTGTTTTTACTGCAGTATGACAAAAACATTATAATATGAACCCTTGATGACTCCACTCAATTTTGTGGATGCCTCTGCGAACACTGCCTAGTAACTAATGTTTGGTTACAGCTTTGTACTTTAAAATAGTATCTCATCATGCTAAGGATAGATAAAAACGTTACATACAAAAGATTATCTTATAAAAAGATAGGGTATTTGCCAGGAATTATTAAGGAAATTGACAGGAAAGCAGGCTTACCTTTAAATAAGTCCATAGAGACACATAAAACATCACAAAATTAAAAGTAGAAATTTTCGTGGTCACTGACCACTTTTTCAACCACTGGAGAGAAAAAAAAAAAAAAAAAACCAGTGAAAATTTCTACTTTTAATTTTGTGATGTTTTATGTGTCTCTATGGACTTATTTAAAGGTAAGCCTGCTTTCCTGTCAATTTCCTTAATAATTACATACAAAAGATGTTTGATATAGGAGATCCATTAATACAAAAATATTTTTTACATTTTATCACAGTTGGTATCATATTCCAGAATGCTTTAGAACACTCCCACTTGATAAGTGTTATATCATGTGGTCTAGCAAACTAGCATAGATAAAAGACAAGCTATCTTTGAGAGCCTCTTTACAAAGGATCTAACTTATTCCAAACAAATAAAAGTCTATTTAATACCATGTGTTATCAAAATATAGTAATTTGCTACTTGACTCATCCTTTTGACTTGTTGTGTAGCTTGCAAAGCTGGGACCTGGGCAGTGGCTGGGTTTATGGCCAAGTTTAAACACAATCATCTTAAATTTCCATACTTGTAAATTCTTGTACTTATCTTAATTCTGGACTAGCTTTACAATTTACAGGACTAAATAATCTCATAAAATTTTAGAGTGAAGCAATAACAATTAATCAAGTCTATTCTAAAATTGTAATTCAAAGAATTGTTTGGTACTTCAAAATCACTACTTTTACAACATTTACCTTAAAACATGAACACAAACTACTTTGTGTAGGATTTCGACTAATCTGTTACAAAATCCTACACCTAATGATACAACATATTATTCCCAATGGAAAGCTACCAGAGAAATGAACCGTCCAAATATCAAGACACTGCCTATCTCTTTGTCCAATGGTACATAGCCAAGAAATTACATTGAAAAATTTGAATTGTTTACTAACCATTGGCTATGGGGAGCTTCGTCCTAATAATAATTACCATAAAATTCTAGAGTTAAGTAGCTCACCAAATCTGATCATCTTCAACAATGTCTTTTTACTCTCTCAGAAGTCCCAAACTTTTGAAAACAAACTTAAATTGTTTTCAGCTCCCAAATACGACTTAATCACATGAAAGTACCTACTTAAAGAGCTTCTTGAACCACATACCTTACACAAATTTGTAATTAAATTTTACAGACCGTACTTCCCACCACAATTGAAAATTAACAAATAACCATCAAAGAAAATCAAGAAAAACAATCCTTCAAGCAAGTTCCCATTAACCAATCAACTTCTTATAATATCCACATCCTTTATGAGGCTGTTCTGAATCGTCTACTCAACAAAGTGGAGGACAGTTGGTTCCAAAAAATCTGTTCCGTTTTTGGTGGTGGGAGAATTAATTGCATAGATAAACAGATACATACATTAATTAATAAAGTACAATTAAATTTGAATAATACCTGAAGAACAATAATTAATGTACAGCTTTATTTTCTGTCTTCTATTCTAGTCTTAGATTTGGAAATTTGCTTGGTCTACAGGTCTGCTGCAGTGCAGGTATTTTAAATTTAGCTCTTCCCATTGATTTTTAATGAATGAAGGTAAATCATAACTTTTTTTAATAGTTAAATAGGTATATATTTATAAAAAAATATGACATACTTTACATACATTGATATTGATTAAGGAGTGGATATATATTTTGGCTAAACAACAATATTCTGTTGATAAAATATAAATCATTTTGTGAATAGACATTATATGCTCCTCATTTTGTTTCATTCAGTTGAAGGTTTCTTTCGAAGTCCACAGACCCGTTTCTTCTCATGTTCTGAAAAACAAAAAGAAAACTTAAATTGCATTGCAAATTTATCCAAGCTAAATGTTTAGTAAAGTTAATAGCTTAATTTTATGCAGCTTGAATATGGTTTTGGAATGCAAAGCTAGTTTTTGCTTTTTTAATATTAGTGTATGTGGTAAATGTAACATTTTAGAATTTCCTCCATTCCCAACCATTGTAACAGAGTACATAAATTTTAGACCACCAGAGGCTATAGGAGTGTGCTCATAGGTGTTATGACAAGTAGACCTAGACCAAACGGAAAATGTAAAGTAACACAGAAGTTGTCTCTTGGATTAATATTTGTTATGTGACTATGACTAGTCACAAATAATTCATTTGTAAAAGTAAAATTGTATCTCAGTGATTTCTCTGGACTAAAGAGAAGTTTTTATTTCACAGTCTTTGTCTCTCATAATGTGTTTGATTGATTGAGTGTCTTTTACAAAATATCAATTACACTGTGACCGAGCTATGACTACTTAACTTACCCGTTCTGTCAGCAAAATGGGTTACTCCAAAAGTAGCAGTCTGGTTTGGTGCATTGTTTAGTTCATCAATTTTCTTCAAGCTCTCCAAAAAAAGGTTGTATCGTATTTGAAATTCTTCCATGTTTTTATATTCAACATCAAACTTCTTGATGAACTTCATGAACTCAACAAATTTGTCGTCCACTGTAGTGTTTGTGAAGGCTGGATCTTCGGAAGACTGTAACATAAAAAGAAATCATCCTTTGTTTTAGAATTAAAATAGAATTTTAACAGATTTTCTAGACTCATACATTTATTTTACGTTTGAAATACCAAACGGCTTGCCTGGTTAGCGGCTAGTGGGGCATGCACAATAAACTTCAGTTGTCGTGCTGGGACCCTGCTATGCCTCTCAACAATACAATATGTCAATATCCTCAAATGATAATTTGTTAAGCACTTTAGATCAATCGCATATAAACACACTTGATTTATTCAGCGCTACACAGAGTTCAACAGAGTCCATCATTTTAGATCTACAAATATTAACTTTTGGAACTGGGACCACCAAACACCATACAGAGAGGGTATGTGCGGTGTGAAATTGTGTTGTGTGCAAGGAGCACTATAGATTTTACAAAAGGATGAGAAGTCTCTTGTCCTAACTTATTGAACAATGTTGAATCTCCCTGGAGGGGCTGATCTAGTTGTTAAGCAGTTAGGCTGGGCACACTGATCTAGCATTTCACCTGCAGCAAAATGTTGCACGATTTTCTTGAAGTGTTTTGTTTCTTTGCCTCTCCAGTGTGCAGGAGGTTCAAGCATGATGCAGCAGTTGGTTTCAAGGAAAAATAAACAATATTTGTACTAGTCCTCTACTACAATATTGTATTTACATTTGTGACGAGGAAGTCAACATAGCTATTGCTTTAAATATGTCAGTTTTCCCAATCAATCAGATGATAGGCACCTTCACGTTCAAGAACGTATATATAATATATATATAAATTGGAACAAATAGTGTTTTGGCCTCTAGGGACATCAAATTTTAAAAAAATTAAAAATTGTAGGCTATATCAGTTCCATGTCCAGGTCTTACCGTGCCACCTACCGTAATAGTTTCTAACCTAAAAAAGAAAAGTGGCTATGCTTTATACCTTGAAAGGAAATACCCCTGCGACAGAAATTTATAGACCAACAGTTTGTGTGGATAGACCAAAAGATAATTTTTTTAAAAGTTAACTTATGGTGGCAGCTTCGGGGTGACAAAGTCAAATTCTTCAACTTTTGAAGAATGTCTAGCAAAATTTTATGAACTGTTGAAGAAGATTAAAATGCATCTACGGTACTGAAGGAAAATACCAAGTTTAGAAGGAGTATTTCTCCCGTAGAAAGAGTAGTTGTCACATTAAAAGGTTAACACGATAGGACTTGAATATCAACCACACTCAACCAGTGATAGACGCAGACTGTCAAAAACTACTGATTTTTATTCAGGCGAACAGCCCGTCTCGCAAAAGTGTGAAAGCGTACATAAGATCCAATGTTCTAAAATCTAGCCATATGGACTGGCCTCACATTGAAAGTTGAGGTTTGTCTGGGTGATTTTCAACCCGAACAGAGGTTTAGGTTTGTCCGGGCAAACACACACTGGTGTAAAAGCTCCCATACGATTAAATAGTCTAAACAATTTAGTCCGGTGTGTGATGGTCATGCACTGGTGTGAAAGAGGGCTAAAAAAATCAACAATCCTACTAAAAATATTTATGAAAAATAATCACGATTAATAAGGCCTATAGACTATATGCCATAGCAACTGAGAAATCGAGTTATTATTACCAATTGAGGATGGGATTGCTACCTTAAGTATGTTAACCTTTTGTACCTTCTTTACTGTCTAACAGCTGTCCCAATGATAAAGGACAGCTGAGTCCAGTTAAACCACAAAAAAGCCTAAACTCACTTTTCTCTGGTGACTTTTGATTGGTAGGCGAGCAATATTACCAATTTAGTAGTTACCACCCACGTACAGCACAAAACAATATCATTGTGAACACTATTAGAACACATTGGCAGTAGGCCTACACTTACCAGATTGCTAACAAGCTGTTGAAACAAAATAAACTCTGTGAGCCTAGTTTCAATGAGATCTGCAAGCTAAGAAACGTTTAGATCTTAGCGATCCCTAGGTGAATATTATGACAATTTCCTTCAGTAGGCCTACCTATAGGCTATAAGCCTGTGAAGGTTGTTCTAAAATTTACTTAATTTATAAGATTAATTTCCGTAAATAACTATTGATATTATTCTATCTTTAAATATATCCAATAGGCCAACAAGCCATCATTTTTAGTTTGATCGTTTGATCAAAATGAAAAGGCCTAGGCCTAGCTTGACTTAAGAGATTAAGGTAAAAATGGTATATAATTTCCCATAAAAATCTTACAATACTGTAATTGTTTGCCAGTAAACATGTCAATAAACAAGTTTAATATAATAAAATATTGAAACTCACCATTCTAAACAAATCTGGAAGAATTATGTTAAGTTAAAGATAGTCAATTGTGCAATGCAATATCAAAGAAAAAGCGAACGTATTTTTCTTCTAAGATGGGATATGACGGTTAACTGGCTGTTGAATGTAGAGTAGATGCACTTGTTGTTACGCCCTCCAATATTTATCTGATAAGAATGTTAGTATGAATCGTGACATTTCCTGACTCACTTTATTGTGACTAATAAATGCCTCTGCCTTCTTCACTTAAACGGTTAGTTAGATTAGATTAGATAGATAGTAATTTTAGTAAACAAACACAAAAAATCAGACTCTCAGCTCCAGCGCTCCAGCTGACTTAGACCTAGACCACAGAAAACAAAACATATGTTTTCTGTGCTTAGACTTGGTAAACAAGCATTGCCAACACAATAAAATAAATGCCATTCGAATTACAAACAAATTCCAACTTGAACAAGACCAATTTTACCTTTTAGAGATATTATTTTATATTGAGCAAATATAATAGAAATTTCAGCATATTGCTATTTTCCACCTAATATGTTACTTGCGTATATTATTTAATAGCTATCAATGTTAATAGACTAACATGAATTTTGTGATAATTGCTTTGAAGCTGCCACGCATCCGATCACCATTTTTAAGGTGTCGTAAGATAGGTCATAGCACGTAGATTTGCCATCATATTTTATAAGGGCCAGCTTCCGAGCTCCGGATCTGGTTCAGGACTTATTGATTCGAGTAGTCAAAATAAGCGCTCGGATCATCGTTTTGTTAAATCACGGATCTATCTGCGAAACTTCAGGATCTATATTAGTTCTGGACTTATTTGAGTCCAGAACTTAAAAACATTGAGGGAATCGTAGAGTATTGCATGCCTAATAAAATCACGCTGTTTTTGTTGTTTGGTTGGAATAAATGAGTGCGGCAAACAAAACGAGTGTGGCAAAAGTAAGTAACTAAATGTAGCAATTAGCTAATTTGTGTGATATAATCAGTAAGCCCACTTTGTCAGGTAACTGAAGAAAAAAGAATGTACCGCAGCACTATCGAGTGTGAGATGTGAACGGGTTCATTGACTGGATCAAATGAGTTCAAACTGCGACCATTTAATTATGTTCTTGCTTTAAAAACCACGCTTTTGGCAATGGAAACACGTGGTGCACACATGCACACATTGCACCATTATAAATTTTTCAAATCCACCAAAATCCATATTTTACTATATACTTTACTTACTTACTTTACTTTTCAATCAAATGGCAACCATAAAAATCAAATTAAATCTTAAATAATAATTTAGGTCGGATTACCAAAACATCTGTTTTACTGATTTTCACGAAGAAAAAACAATGGCAAAGACTGCACATAAACTTTAAAACCAAATTGGGACTTCAACCATTTCCGCCTTTACAAACATATCAAAACCACTGAGCTATAATAATATAACTGGAGTAACCACTCTGTGTTTTAAAAACGTACCACTGTTTTTGATGTTTTTGTTTCAGAGCTTCGTGTTGTTAGGCTGGTGATCGGTTGGTGGGATTACTGGGATTTGTCAAATTAGAGGAAAAATCAAGATGGCGTGTGGCGTCAACCTATTGTCTTGTTGATAGCAAACAAAAATATGTCAACATTATGATTGCAATATAAGTTTAATTATTTATTATACGAGCAAGATCAACCCGTTTTAACAAGATCATAAACCGATGGTCGTTCTTTATCAAATGCCATAGGTAAACCTGCAACAGTAAACCCACGACTATATATGTTTTCAGGTTAAAGAAGTGTCAAAATAACCAGCCCAGGCAACCACAGAAGAAATTAATAACAGTGAAGATAAGTAATAAATTATAACCCAAGTAGACTCATGGCTGCTATGTCAAGTCTTGCCTGTTAGGCACAGAAAAAAAACCAATATCTCCAAACCAGGAAACTTGACTAGCCTATTTTCACCACATAGCTTGAAAAGAGGTAAATAAGTTAGTAGCCTATTTATTTATTATCAAAAACAATTTATAATGTTTCAAAATAACTTTAAATGCACAGGTTTTAACGTGCAATGTCTAAGTTTTTTTTTTATATAAGTCCTTGAAATAACGGATAGGCCTAACCTCAAATGAATAGTAAGGTTAGATTAGAATGAATTGGAATTTGACAGCATCCCACCAACCGATCACACGGCCAACCTAACAACACGAAAAGCCAAAAACAGACCAGCAAAAACAGTGGCACGTTTTTCTCTAATGTTTAACCAGAGAGTAGTGACTCCAGTTATAATCTATATCTCAATTACCAAAACCCCCTAACATGTCAAATAAAAAATCAAATAAAAAGTCCTTCTACTGAGACTAGATTGCGCACCATTTCGTGTGCCATTCGCTAGTGCATAAAAATATCTTCATTTAGGGCCATTATTAGTTACCAGCTGTTGTGTATTCTATTTTTGTATTATGCTGTTACCCACGGGCTTGATGTCCCCAGAGGCCAAAAACACAATTCGGTCAAATATGTCCATCCAGACGATAACGGGGACTGTATAGTTAGTTTTTTCTATCTTGCTTTAAATTTATTGGACAACAGTAACTGTGTATATAGATTGAAAAGATGTCATGTTTTTGACATAAAATGACGTTTTTAGGAATTTATGGACTTTAACCTAAACTTTGTACCAAATATGCAAAATTTGTGTGTTAGCTTTATTGTTGGATAAATACTAACTACTGTATTGAAATTTTATCGTATTTGCTTATTGTTCTATTTTTGTTAAACAGATTGTAAATTAATTATAACGAGAGCACGCCCCGTGGTCGAAAAATCGACCAAAAGTATGTTTTGTACAAACTTCTCTATTTTCACCCCACACTGTAAATAAAACATGTGATTGGAATGTCTTCCATTTGTTTTGATTTTCTGTTTATATTGTGTTGTTATTTCGTCATCACCATAACAACCCATAAGACCCATGTTAATTTTTTAAAATTTCAAATTCATTTTTTGTGCTTATTTTTGAGCCTATTTTAATTTATAAAGGGATTCTGCACACCTACAGGAAAATAGCTTTCTAACGGTATGCGTAGATTTTCCCTACGATACACACGAGCTGAGAAAAAAGGTTTTAAAGAAACATGCTTGCCTATTAATATATAGATAGATGAAAAAAAATCATTCCTCCTATCTTTCCTATTCTTTCTTCCTAGATTCTTATTCCTATTTTTTTGTGACTAGAGAATGAAAGTTCCCCAACCCCAACTTTGCCCCCATAAACCAAACCAGTCCTGTTGTCCAGTCCAGTCCAGAGTGAGTCCATTTGATTTTGATTCCATATCCATCCAATCCCAAAGTGCAATGTGCTTTGTGTATGTGTATGTTTTGTTTGTATGTGCTAAAAAACATTGGTATTGGTCGTGTCCGTGTCACTCGTGTCCCGTATCGTCGTGGTGCATGCATTTGCTATTTGCAATTTGCATTTGCATACCGACACCATCACACTAACCCATAACCGATATTACAGGCTTCAATTTTGGTAAGTGTCGTATTTTAACCATTACCTTTAACCTTGAAGTATTCTGATCTAACTTAATCAGCCTAATCGCACATTTGACACAGATATACAGTTAACAAATTGCAAACCGGTAACGCCGGTAACTTTTGGGCTGGGCCTCGGGCCTGGCATAATGTCAGGTCTCATGTCATGTTGGAATTCAGCCTCCTCACTAGGATGGTAGGGGTGGATTATCCTAACAAAAATGGTATAGTATTACAACCATTGAAACCATAGTATTACAATAACAGGATGAGTTTAACAAAGTACCCTAACTTAAATTTGTTAAATACAGGAAATAGCTAGCCTATTTTCTGTGTCCTATAATCAGTAGGCCTACAGTACAAGAAAGCCTGCCTTGTCTGGTAAGCTAAGCAGTTATTTGTGGAAATTGTCATGAAACTAGTGCCGAGTGCGTGAAGTGGCATTTTGCTGTAACATAGGCTAAGTTACATGAGAGAAATGTTTACCAAACATCAACCCGTTTTGCCGCCACAATTTTTAAGTAAGTTAGCCTAGTTGCGTGCTAAAAATGCCAAGGCCATTTTTTGGTACAGCGCAATGTTTTGATTAACAAGCTCTAAGTTACATAACTCTTGTTTCTTTGGTAATTATTTACCCTATTTAACCCTTTGAGTGCCGGAGACTTTATGTCAGGTACTACACTAAAGTGCCATGTGAGTTATAACTAGGCCTACCCAAAAATGCCGGGCCCTTTCTGTGGCTTTAGCAATACTTCAGTATAAACGCTATAACTTTTTTATTTATCAACCAATTTTATAAATTTTTTTTTATTTACAGAGAAATAACTACTCTACAATATAACACAATTTATAAGTATATTTCATGCAGCAGGCAGTGTGAAAATGATGAAAAATACATACCTTGAAAAGTTTTTTCAAAAAACTTCCATATTCAATGCTGTACGTATCATGTGAGAAAAAAATGTTTCACTCAATAAAACTCATACCACTCTGTTTTATATTTAACTGCCAACAAACATTTTAAGTTTCATGAGAAAATAAAGTCAAATAATGAGGTAACAACGTTTTTAGTAATATCATACATTTTTCCTCGGCAGCACAGATATCACACACTAAAGTCATCATGGCCTCTTACTCCTATTCTACAAATAATTTGGCCTAAACTTATACAATAAATTATTTTAGTGCCAAATCTGAATGATAAAATAATAAAAAGTCATTTTGAGTAAAATAATAACATACAAAAAATATTTACAATAAGGCGAAACTGTTGGCGAACATATTTTAGCAATGATGTTGAGTGACACACTTATGGTGCAATCCTTTTTTGCACCTTTTGCACATAAATGTGGATTTCTTTCTCCTTCCACCTTCTCTTGTACTTGCTTTGCTGCAAACACAGCAGTTTTTTTCCCGGTTTTCTGGAATTTTTTCGACTAATGGGCTGTCTGCGTCGCCACCACCACGGGAGATTCTGGTCGGAGTTATGTTAGTTATGTCAGTTATGTTGGGTCTCATTTCTTGGATAACTAACCATTCTTTGGCCAGTTCCTTTACAATAAATATACTGTAGGCCAGCCTGTTCATTGGTTTATCGGTGTTAAGTTTGTACAGCAGGTAGGAGTTGAGGAGCATACGGCTAAAAATATTAAACGTGACCTTCTTCCAAAATTTTAAAGTTTTTCTGTCATCTAAGTATTGGTAAAGCATTTGGTCACAGCCATCTACTCCCCCCATGAAGTCATTATAGTTTCTAATTACTTTAGGCTTATTTGTGACATGAACTGACGTCCCCCTTACCCTTGCCCTTCGCTCACTCTCTGCTTTGCCATTGGTTGTTAGTAATAGGACTTGTTTTTCTGTGATTTTTTTTGCCTATATCCTACCATTAAGAGGTTGTCTTTCCTCAAATACTTTTTCTGCCCTACTTCAAATTTCTCTTTCATTACTTCTGGTATTCCTTTTCTTTTCTTTCGCAATGTACCTGTGAGGTTCGTTGCCTGAGTAAGCAAAAACTTTGCTAGTTTTATTGTGGTAAAAAAATTATCCACAAACACGTGGTACCCCTTGCCAAGTAAGTTTGTCATCATCAGTAGTTTCTCAACAACATAGAAACCAAGGCCCTTCTGTGTTATTTCCCTTTTGTCAGTCCTTTAGCTCCACGATACACAATGAAGGACATACAGTAGTGTGTGACAGAATCACAAATGCACCATAATTTAACGCCCCACCAATGTCTCTTTTTGGGCAAATACTGTAACAACTGGGAGTGGGCCTTGGTGCTTACCATGCTCTCATCAACTGAAAGGTTCTCACTAGGAGTAAAGTGAAACCTAGATACCCTATTCATGTGGTCAACTATTGGTTGAAATCTAGCGCACGGGTTATACCCAGGTTCGCGCGGACGAGGCAGTTCTGTTGTGTCAACCAAGTGGAAAAACTGCAGGATTGCTTGAAATCTGTTCCTATTGAACATTCTTGGAAACCAAGGCATAAACTGACTGCTAGTCCTTGACCAATAGCAAAATATTGTAGGTTTTACATTTAGGCCCATATTTAGTAGCACTGCTACAAAAGCCTACATCTCGATTCGAGTTACCGGTCTCCAGGACTTGGCCCTGCTATGTTCTTTGAGTTGGTGGGCATTTGCAGTAATAAAGTTATTAGCAAATTTGTTTGTATATTTTACTAGCATATCAAAAAAGGCAACAGTAAAAAATAGTTTGAAATAATCTATTGGAGATAAATTCCTAGGGGGGCAGTGTTTCACGCCAGACAATTCATGAAAAGTAAACGGATTATTGCCGCCAGGGTCATTTTCTTCAGTTACTTCTGTCCAACCAGTTCCATCCTCACTATCCTCATTATTTTCAAGATTTTGTTCTTGGTTAGGTGCATCTAACCTAGGTCTACCCCGACGTCTTGGTGCAGGGTTTGGTGCTGGCCTAGGCCTAGGATTTTCCACTCTATCCTCCTCCTCATCTGTTGAATAATTATTATTACCAAAGGACTGTAATATCCTATCTATCCTACGTTGATTGTTACCTTCATAGGGGTCGTAATCGGGGTCACTATCGGTATCATCCACAAGATCAGAAATTGAGTCACTGTCAGATTCGGCACCAGAACTACTTTCAATTTCAGAAACCTCACTCACAAAACTATCATCTAAAAAGTCGTCATCTAGAGTTCTTGCAATTGCATTGTCACTTAGTGGAGATCTAGATCGATCCATCTTATATATTAAAAAAATTTGGTTTTTCTTTTCTGAGTTCGTTTGGCTCTTCTACCCGACCGATTTTCATGATTGAGGTCTCAAATTGAAGGTATGCACGCTCAGATTTGCCATCAAGCATCGGCATATATTTATCTATAATCCTACTCGGCTTATACGTAAAAGAAATTTGCTCCCCATGTTATTCTTATGGGTGTTAAATTTGGTTTATCTTTGCCGAGTTCGATTGGCTCTTCTACCCGACCGATTTTCATGATTGAGGTCTCAAATTGAAGGTATGCACGCACAGATTTGCTATCAAACATCGGAATATAGTTATCTATAATCCTACTCGGCTTATACGTAAAAGAAATTTGCTCCCCATGTTATTCTTATGGGTGTTAAATTTGGTTTATCTTTGCCGAGTTCGATTGGCTCTTCTACCCGACCGATTTTCATGATTGAGGTCTCAAATTGAAGGTATGCAAGCACAGATTTGCCATCAAGCATCGGGATATATTTATCTATAATCCTACTCGGCTTATAAGTAAAAGAAATTTGCTCCCCATGTTATTCTTATGGGAGTTAAATTTGGTTTATCTTTGCCGAGTTCGATTGGGTCTTCTACCCGACCGATTTTCATGATTGAGGTCTCAAATTGAAGTTATGCACGCACAGATTTGCCATCAAGCATCGGCATAAATGTATCTATAATCCCACGCGGATTATACGTAAACGAAATTTGTTCCCCATGTATTTCTTATGGGAGTTAAATTTGGGGTTTCTTTGCCGAGTTCGTTTGGCTCTTCTACCCGACCGATTTTCATGATTGAGGTCTCGAATTGAAGGTATGCACGTACAGATTTGCCATCAAGCATCGGCATCAATGAAATTTGCTCCCCATGTATTTCTTATGGGAGTTAAATTTTGTTTCGCTTTGCCGAGTTCATTTGGCTCATCTACCCGACCGATTTTCATGATTGAGGTCTCGAATTGAAGGTATGCACGGACAGATTTTCCATCAAGCATCGGCAAATATTTATCTATAACCCCACTTGGTTTATACGTAAAAAAAATTTCCTCTCCATGTATTTCTTATCTTATATATTAAAAAAATTTGGTTTTTCTTTTCCGAGTTCGTTTGGCTCTTCACCCGACCGATTTTCATGATTGAGGTCTCAAATTGAGGGTATGTACGCACAGATGTCCCATCAAGCATTGGAATATATGTAGCTACAGTCCAAACCCGGATTATACGTAAAATAAATTTGCTCTATTGGTAGTTAAATTTAGTTTTTCATTTCCCAGTTCGTTTGGCTCTTCTACCCGACCGATTTTCATGATTGAGGTCTCAAATTGAAGGTATGCACGCACAGATTTGCTATCAAACATCGGAATATAGTTATCTATAATCCTACTCGGCTTATACGTAAAAGAAATTTGCTCCCCATGTTATTCTTATGGGTGTTAAATTTGGTTTATCTTTGCCGAGTTCGATTGGCTCTTCTACCCGACCGATTTTCATGATTGAGGTCTCAAATTGAAGGTATGCAAGCACAGATTTGCCATCAAGCATCGGGATATATTTATCTATAATCCTACTCGGCTTATAAGTAAAAGAAATTTGCTCCCCATGTTATTCTTATGGGAGTTAAATTTGGTTTATCTTTGCCGAGTTCGATTGGGTCTTCTACCCGACCGATTTTCATGATTGAGGTCTCAAATTGAAGTTATGCACGCACAGATTTGCCATCAAGCATCGGCATAAATGTATCTATAATCCCACGCGGATTATACGTAAACGAAATTTGTTCCCCATGTATTTCTTATGGGAGTTAAATTTGGGGTTTCTTTGCCGAGTTCGTTTGGCTCTTCTACCCGACCGATTTTCATGATTGAGGTCTCGAATTGAAGGTATGCACGTACAGATTTGCCATCAAGCATCGGCATCAATGAAATTTGCTCCCCATGTATTTCTTATGGGAGTTAAATTTTGTTTCTCTTTGCCGAGTTCATTTGGCTCATCTACCCGACCGATTTTCATGATTGAGGTCTCGAATTGAAGGTATGCACGCACAGATTTTCCATCAAGCATCGGCAAATATTTATCTATAACCCCACTTGGTTTATACGTAAAAAAAATTTCCTCTCCATGTATTTCTTATCT